GCAGCTGCCCTGATTGGCTCGTCACACCATGTGAATATATTTATTATTTGCTTATGCTATATATATTTTATATCATTAATATTATTACTGCCATCATTACTTTGAAACATTTAGTTTTCATGTATATATTAGAGACCTGGGTTACACACACCTAGGAAATCAAAATTCACAATAAAATGACATTTTGAAACAACGGTGTGCTGCCACAGTATTACTGTTGTCACACAGTCACAGATCAAGGACCACAACTTTTACAAAACTTGAATTAAAAGCCTCGTCCCAGTTAAACGGCCAGTTCTTTATACTAGCCCAGTGTGGCTACACATTTTAACAAATAAAGGCTTGTCTCAATTAGAGGCCTGGTCTGGTTGCCAAGCAGTTCACTCTCATAGAAATTCTTTGGATGTACAAAACCAAGTTGCTGGCTATCCACTTGAGCAAATGTTAATTGTTAGGTCGTGCATACAAATATAAATGTTTAAACTTCTGTCAATATGAAGATGTTACACATTGTTAGCTGAGATAGATTCTCCCTAATTCAGTTGTTCAGTTAATTTTACTGAAACCATGAGCACAATAGAAGACTGTAATTTATTACGATTTAACAGCATGCCAAAAAAATATGTGGTGACTCCCTTCCTCTGAAGCTGTTATAAAGTCAGAGAATGTGTCCGTTCCTTAATTACACTGTAAGTTATTCATATTCCTTTAGTCTGTAGGGGTCCTCAGATCAAAATGCTGTAAAACGAGTGTCGTAACTCTCTCTGAAATGCCTCGTCTGTTGGAACTAGATCAAATGAATGATTCATAACTGATGTTATTTGAAGTCTCATTTTTAAAATACAATCTTCATATACATATAATATTCATATTGGTTCAAATAATAATAATTTCCCATCTTTACTGGGCAACAGTTTTGTGTAAAAGGAATTAAGGTCTGTCGCATATTAGATGCTTATCCCAAATATAGTCTTGTTGAGGTTAGTGATTGAAGCAAACAATAGTCTGGGCTACTAAGTGAGGTTTTATGGTATCCCTTTTAAAGTGTTTGGTCTGGAGTTAGACATTTTTTCACAAATGTTAAATAGACAGATCTTTTTTTTGCATGGTGTCACCTTTATTATTCACATACATACTTTTGAACACCTTACTGCACAACAAACAACAACAGCCACGGCATGCAGGTACTTTAACCTTCCTAAAGCCAAACTACTACTTCTGGACTTTGGGGGCAAAAAGGACCTCAATGAAGGAAAAAAAAAGTTGCAAATTGATAAAGTGCATATCCTCTCTCTGAAGGAGGAGTTTGTACAGCAGCTTTCCTGCTCACTTGGCAACACGCAGTGTATGGCTTTTATTTACATCACAGCCTTATCAACCCAGACTTTAACATACTGGACAAATTCAGGCACATCCACTCTGGTGCAGCTTTGTATCTTTCAGCATTTTCCCATTGTTTCCAATTAAAAGGCAAAATTTTAAATTACATCATATACACATTTTAGAAAGCAAGAATACAATTTACATTTAAAAAGGGGGGTCTGATGCTGGATTTGGCCACTCTCTTTCAGAGAGTATCATCTGTAATCAGACTCCAATCTCTTCCATTTGAAGTGAAATCATATGATACTCACAGAAGCAGAGAGCCGACAGCTCTGCAGTAACAGGGTCCAGCACACACAGAAATTCAGTGCAAAACAGAAATGTACACAAACATAAAATACAGGTTATAGTGAAGATTGAGGAAGCCATTGACATTGCTACCACCTCACATCAAAATCATTGTTCTTTAACATTTGGTTCAGGGTAAAAAGGGTTTATCAGATATGTATGGTGGACGATACCAACTGTCATGACTGCATGAGGAGAGCTGAAAATGAGGTTGCACACCCTCATTCTGTTTTAGTGTACCTGACATACTAAATTCCCTCTCAACTCCACATAGTTGTTGTGAAAATTCTGCTGTTAAGAACATCAAATGGAAGGTGTCAAGAGCAGAGATTTACCACAAGTGGACTTTATAGTCTCATAATGCTATCGAAACCTTATAATGATATATCAGCAGAGTCTGAGCCGTTATTTTCCATAAACAAATGAATATTTTGGATAAGAATCCCTTCATTTCAGTTATTGAAGAATAGTGATCAGTATATCAGTTAAGTGGGACATTTTCCAGTGTAAACATCAAGTCCAGTGTTGTCTGGTGGACAAACTCTAATGGAGACACAGTGTCTAAATGACTACACTGTCATTTGTTAATAAATGACATACTATGCTGATACGCGTCACATCAACTCTAGAGATTTGGGGATGCTATGAGCACTATTATCACAATTTAGACAGTGTCTTCAAAGTTAGAATCCCAGGAAGATGATACTGAAGTCAGAATTCTGACTGTACCATATTTAACTATTTGCATATGGTCTTAGCCTTCTGCAGCTATGCTAACTGGTGCAACCGAATATAATCATCCATAACCAGGATCAAGTTAGATAATCAGTTTTAAATATTTCTTCAGCAAATATGCAGAAACAAGCAACATTAAATATATATCCTACTAAGTAGGCTTGGGCGGTATCTGTACTTTTTCCTAACTTCCTGACATTTCATCAGTGTATGCAATATATGACAAAGTTTTTGTTAAAATAAAAACTTAAAGCTGAGATGCTTGTGGTAGAAGTTATTGTAGCATGTATGGCATTGTCTAGGCCTTCTAAAGTTTTCCAAACGTCTACCTTCATCGTAACAATTAGCAATAGACGATATGTTGCTGTCCAGCTTTTTACTTCTCCTGTTACGTTATTCCCACTACTCACAGCTGTCATGTTTCTCATTAGCTGTTTGTTCCACCAGTAGAGACTGACCTCTGGTGGCATGTACTTTGCACAATACATCGCCTTAGTACAGCATCTCTGTACCACTTTAACAGAAAGAGAAGCGTCTGTATTTTTGATTATATAAAAATTAGGGATGCATGATATTGGATTTTTTGCTGATGTTCGATAAATAACAACTTGGCAAATAACTGATATTGGTATCGATATATCCACTTTTTTCTTAACCTAATTTTAGTGATCATCAAGTGTCGTCTGTAGTGGAATTAACGTCACATTATGCATGCATACTCACCAGCAGATGGAGACAAATACAATTCTTCTCAATGTATGTAATAGTCATTCATTGTGCAAAATAAGAAAAAGCATGTTGGCTGATTCTAATAGTTCACTTTAAAGCCAATATTGGCCAATACTGATGACATACTGATACTATCAGTGTGTTGGTTGATTCTGATTTACCATTGCCATTTACCATTATTTGCCATTTTAAGGCAAATATCGGCCAATATCGATGTTGACATGCTAATATTATCATGCATCCCTAATAAAAATTATACTGTTGGGAATACTAAATACCCTGGTATACCTCAATACCTTGATACCACCCAAGCATCTGTGTCTGTGCTAAAGACAATGAGATAGTTCCCAACAAATGCACTATTCCCTCCTTACCCTTTAAGTTAAAGGTTAGACATGAGGTCTGCCAATGTCTACAAATGACATGCACCCACCACAGTCCACACATGCTGTCTTTCCATTATACACATTTTGTAGCGACTGACTGGAGACAGACCTTTACTTAGCACTTGCACTGGCTGAATTTGAGCTGCTACAGCCACAGACTGAAGGTCCATCTTTGGAGCTGCACTCCAATGGTGGGGAGAAGCGGAAGGACCACAAGGTGTGTTAGCTAATTCAGTAACACTTTACTTGAAGGTATCTACATAAGAGTGACATGACACCGTCATAACTATGACATGACCCTGTCATGAACTTGTCATAAACATTATGTACATGTCATAAACGTTTATGACTGCTGCCATCAAGTGAAATTTGGTTTTTGTAATGACAAGTTGACATTGTTTGGGCTGTCTTGATTATGACAGTTAGTTGACATTAATCAAAGTGACATTACCAGAAGTTGTCTTTGTCATGACAAGTTGACATTAAATTTGTTTGGGATGTCCTTAAAGTGACAACTTGACATTAACCAGGATGACATTACCAGAAGATGTTTTTGCCATGACAACTTGATATCAACCTGGATGACATGACCAGAAGATGTCTTTGTTATGACAATTTGACATTAAATTGTTTTTGGGATGTCCTTATTATGACAACTTGACATTAACCAGGATGACATTACCAGAAGATGTCTTTGTCATAATTACTTGACATTAACAAGAAATGCACCTCTTTTTGTGTTTATGACATAATGATTATTATAATTAGATGTGCAAGGTTACAGACCAATTCTAACACTCGCTCAGATAGATGTCTAGCAGTATACGACACAAAACTGGCTGTCATGACACCATTATGACAGTGTAATGAATAAATTCTTCATGACAGCCAGTCTCATCCTTCATGATATCTTAATGACAAATCAAAATGGTACCACTTTACTTGAGGTCAAAGAATTTATTTATTACACTGTCATAATGATGTCATGACAGCCAGTTTTGTGTCGTATGACATCTATCTGACCGAGTGTTAGAACCGGTCTGTAACCTTGGACATCTAATTATAATAATCATGATGTCAACTTGTCATAAACACAAAAAGAGGTGCATTTTTTTATTAATGTCAAGTTGTTATGACAAAGACATCCTCTGGTTATGTCATCCTGGTTACTGTCAAGTTGTCATTATAAGGACATCCCAAACAAATTTAATGTCAAGTTGTCATGACAAAGACATCTTCTGGTAATGTCATCCTGGTTACTGTCAAGTTGTCATTATAAGGACATCCCAAACAAATTTAATGTCAACTTGTAATGACAAAGACAACTTCTGGTAATGTCACTTTAATTAATGTCAAGTTGTCATAATCAAGACAACCCAAACAATGTCAACTTGTCATTACAAAACCCGAATGACACTTAATGGCAGCAGTCATAAACGTTTATGACATGTACATAATGTTTATGACAAGTTCATGACAGTGTCATGTCATAGTTATGACGGTGTCATGTCACCCTTATGTAGATACCTTTAAGTGTTACCGCTAATTCTTGTGTCATCTGTGATCTGATAAAGAGTGATGTAGTCAAATTCAGTGCAGCTAGCTATCATTCCAAATTTTGTCTTGAGTGTATAATTCATACAGACTCCCGGGGCTGGTTTGCAAATTATTTTATCAGGTAACGTTATGAAGCAACTAATGCCAGATCTATGTAGCATGTTGCAACTAGCTGGGCGGCCAACAAGTAATCGTAACCTGAACTAAGCGTAGCCAGTTATCTGTGAAGCGATGCTGCGTGGATCTGCTGGTGGTAGCTCTGAAAGGAAAGCAGGTAAAATAATTTGCAAACAGCATGCTAGTTAGTATCATGGAGCCAATGGTTCCAATGAAATATAGGAATATTACATATATTAATTTTATTCTACATAGGATCATTTATTTTCCATTTCCCATCAGAGTAATGATGGTCAATCACGTTCAGTCGTATGTCATGTTACGGTTTTGGCCAATGCACAGATGCTCAGTTGCACCTACAGAGTGTGAGCGAAAACAACAGGAGACAGACTGCAGTTCATGTAATGGCCTCAGAGAGAGAGGTGTTAATAAGGATTTTCTGAAAGTAACATATGGAACATTTGATATAAAGCGTGCTTATATTTTCTCCTAGGTTGTTTAACACACTAAAGTCTTTTCAATTACTTCACAGTCCAAACAAACTTTCTTCACAAGAATTAAGATTTAGGTTAACTTTGAGAAGGAACAATAAATGAAATACATTGAACAGATGAAGACATTGAGCTATTCTCCATATAGGGTAAAGGGTTTCTCTGTTTGCTTCATCAGCCATTAGTGTGTGAAGTCTCCAATCTGAGACAAGGAACAGCTGTGATGGGCTCAACAAAAACCTTCTAACAGTGTGCACAGGGTGTCAGTTCTACTTGTGTTCCTAAAAATAATTGTAAGGGTGAAAAGTAGTTCTCCGTCTTGTCACTGTAATAAAAATATGTGAGCATTTTCCCAGTGGCAACCTCTGGCCCCAGGAAGATTATTTCTGACAGCTTCATTTTGGGGAAAAAAACGATACAGTTTCCAAACTACAACAATTATAGGAATAAATTATTTTGCATTATCCTATTCACATAAGACACTTTCCTCCAGTCCCTTATGTGGACTGCCATTTACTTCAGCATGGCACTTTTCTATTGTTCAAAATGTATATGAAGAGTCAAATCTAGCCAAGTTCCATGTGGCAGAGTTAACTGGAATCAGGTTTAAAAGACAGTGTGGAGTTTTTGACAGAGGCTGATATAAGTCACTCAACAGTGCTACTAAGGATGCTAGGAGAGCTCAGACTGTACTTCTGCTCTAGAGTCGGATTAATCAGCCATCTGGAGACCTCAGGTTCATGGTCATTGGCATATCACCACAACTTAACACAAGAGTGCTCAAAAGATAAGAATGAGCATTAGGACATACACTGAGGGGATGTTGTGTTTTTAAGTCTGTGGTTAAACCTTATAATTCATGTAGTGGGTGATATTTAATAGCTGATTCACTGTTTTAACTTTTCCTTTTTGTGTGACAAGTCACCAGCTGACCACAGGACTCCAATCCTGAGCTAAAGTCAAAGCATCCACATCACAACTACCTGGTAACTCTGTTCACTAATGTCAGAAACCATTCTATTTTTCCTCATCAGTTCAGAACATTGTAAAGTATTTCCTCTGATTAGCTTAGAAATACAGAAGTGTGTCAACAGGAGGGGGAACTTCAGCAGGTGTACCAAATCTTCCTGTGGTGTTGCTTGGCCTCTCAGGTGGATGCTCTGTGTCACTTACTTGCTGTGCTGGAGGTACTGCTGGGTGAACATGTTAAGTTCACTGTCCAGCCAGCCTGCCTTGTTCCTAACACAACAAAACAAACACATACATATTAGTAACATCTATACTTGTGTAACAAGGTGTATGTCTGAAAAGGGCTATAAATGCAACTTAATGACAATAGCTGTGATGTGTAATTGGCTGTACTAGATTAAATGAGTGATCACTGAGAGTAAAGGTGTGTTCACACTCATCATTATGTGAGCATTTTGTACAGTGAAATTACAAAGTTTATGCAAATGAATTACGAATGACGTGAAGACACAAAACTCACAGTATCTGCTATTGCCATAGTGAATTGTAGTATTAGAGCTCCATTAATGATGACTTTCTTCATTCACCGCACACGGGCTTAAGTCAGAGCAAACACACTTAGAGTTGACTGAACACATTTAGATCAGCTGTTCTGGAACCGAAAACTTTTCCATCTCAGGGTTCATGAACTCAGAGTTCAGGGTTAGACTCACAGTTTGTTAAATCTGCTTTCTGGAAGAGACCCCTGTAGTCTGAGCCTGTATGCTATATTTAGAATATTTCATTAATAATAATAATAATAATAATAATAACAACTAGAACTGCAAGCAGTTATGAATGGGGTCCAAGCCTCCCCACGCAACTCGGCCTCCACACCCCATGGAGCCCACAGTAGTCAGCCCCAAAGGACATCAGGCTCGGGGCGAGCGTCAGGACACAGGCCAACGTCTGAGTTGCAGTATTCACCGTAATGGGAAGTGCATTGGAAGTACTAAAGGCTGAATGCATTTGTTGCAATAAGTCACGCCCACTTTGACCAATCATTACCAAACTTTGCGGCTGGCCTCAGGACTGTCCCCACATCAGACTCACCTATTTTTGTACAAATCCTATCAACTTTTAGGAAACGTAATATTTTTGGGTTTACAGCGTCCACCAGTGGCCAATTTGGGCCAAATTTGGCACCGAGCCTCTGAACAACCTCTGGAATAAGTGTGTTAAGTGTCATGTTGATATATTTTAGTCTGACAAAAATATGCAACAATATGTATATTTTAGCTAGCAAATTTTTTTTGTCATTAATGATTCGTACATTTTTTGGTCGAGCAAAATTCTTTTGATAACTTTAGATCAGGTCCATCGTAAGAGTTGACGTGCCAAGTTTCATGCAGTTTGGACATAATCTGTAGGAGGAGTTCGAAAAAGTAGGTTTCGGATATGTGGCGACTTAGCGAAGAAAATGTGGGGCGGAAGTGGGCGGGGCCTATGTCAGCAAATCCAGCTCTATTTAGGGAATACGTGGATATAAAGTTTATGGATATGTGATTTAAATTGTGGAAGTAACAGGAAAACGCGTTTGCATATTTCATAGCGCCACCTAGTGGAGTATCTGCGCAATTTTTGAGAGGAGATATAAACGTCCCATGTTTATAGCACCCCTTAAAGGCCAATGTTCACCAACGTCGGTTCACACCCTCACAGTCACATGCTAACTAAGGATCTCAGGTTTGGGATTGATAGCTTTTAATTAGGGATGCACCGAATATTTGGTAACCGAATATATTCGGCCGAATGTTGCAAAAAAACACACATTCGGTATTCGGTGGAATAAGTTAAAAGCAAGGCCGAATAATAGTAGCGGCGTTTTGATAACAAAATCAAATGGCGTGCCGTGATAGGCAAAATAAAATGTCGGCAGAGTGGTGATCCGTCCGTCACGGCACTCGCATGTGTGACTAAAAATAGTTGAGCGAGCAAAATAGGCTTAAATCATTCAGCACGCTGTGCGAGCAGCCTACAGATTTCAACCAGCAGCAGAAATGAAAGGCTAATCCCACCGATTGTGGGTTGAACGGGGGTCACAGACACAGACAAAGACAGTAACGTTAATGTATTCCCGTCAAATACGGCGGCCACTGGCTTACCGGGCGACGGAGAAGTCGGTTCCAATAATATCCTCTTCTTGGCGTGTGGACTGCCCAGAAGTACCTGAACAGCTGAGCCAGCCGAACACAGGTATGTGACGTGTCAGAGGAGAAACGAGCCGTTCACGGCCCACAAACCTCACCGCACTTTAGGGACTGTTCTTTACTTGTCAGGGGAGGAGGGTGGCTGGTTGATTTTTATTTTATTTATTTATTTTATTTTGACCCCCCCTATGTTAATCACTTATTGATGCCGTTTTGAAGTATGAATAAGTCAATAAGTAATTTATTCCATTGAAATATCAGTGATGTATTATAGAAAAGTGATTTATCTTTTTATAAATGACAAAAGGCACATCTGCCTCCTTTTCGCTGTGGTATCGTGATACTACTCAGAACCATGGTATTTTCATTGGTATCGCACAGTGGGTCCCAATTTTGGTATCGTGACAACACTAATCTGGAGGGGGTTCATCTGCAAAAACTAATGAAAAACTAAACAATGATATTCGGTATTCAGTATTCGGTATTCGGCCAAGCGTTTAATAATATTCGGCTTCGGCCACAAATTTTCATTTCGGTACATCCTTTTAATTTGACAAAGATATGGAACAGTTTGTGTTTTCATAGCTAGCTACAAAAATGTGTACGTCAATAATTTGTACATGTTTTGACCGGGCAAAATTCTTTTTTAAGTCAGGTCCATCTTGTGAGTCTAGGTGCCAAGTTTTATGCAGTTCAGACAAAATCTCTAGGAGGAGTTTGAAAAAGTAGATTTTGCAGTTTTTGCCATTTTTGGCAGGAAAAAAGTTAGGCGGAAGTGACGGGGCCATGCACACGTGATGCAGCTCCATTCAGGGAAGCCATGGATATAAGGCTTTTGAATATGCGACATACGGTGTGGGAGTTACATGCCAAAACACATTAATCTTGATTGTAGCGCCACCTGCAGGTGCACATATGTATATTTTTGCATCTGAGGTCCCTGCAGGGGTCTGGACCAACCCTCCAAATTGCACCACCCTCCCTTGCATGGTGTAGCCTGCAGCAATAGTTTTACTTACGGAAAAATAATAATAATAAGATGTATAATAATAAAAATCTGAACAAAAACAATAGGTTTCCCAGGACCGCTGGTCCTGGGAAACACGTCTGCTTGCATACATGTTCCCCAGGTCCCGCGGGCTTGGACCCCTAATAATTCTTTTAGTTTCAAGAAGGCCTTCGACCGGCCTTCAGTCGGTGCTCGGGCCCTAATAATAATAATAATGATAGTAATAATAATAATAATAATAATAAAAAACAGCGCGATTTCAATAGGGTCCTCTGCGGACGACCTGCAGTTGTCGCTCAGTCCCTAATAATAATAAACAGCGCGATTCCAATAGGGTCCTCCGCAGATGACTTGCAGTCGTTGCTCGGGCCCTAATAAATAATAATAAGCAGCGCGATTTCAATAGGGTCCTCCTCTGACAACTTGCAATCGTTGCTCGGGCCCTAATAAAACCACCGAAAAACAGAGGACTCTGGGCAGTCTCATTCAAAGAAAAGCAGATGTGGCAGCAGGTCCGGTCAGCACCATACAGGAGTGAGCAGGAGCAGAGCTAACGACCTGTTGTCGCGAGCCTGTTATTCAGGGAGACAAAGACCTCCTTCTCAGGTGGAAATGTGATGGAGCCAGGCATTTTCCTCTGATGTCGAGGGCTGCCTGAAAGTACCGCGGCCAAAGTTGTCAATCCACTATGTGCCCTGCTCCAGCTGGAAAAAGTAAACATGCTGGTTTTTCTAGCGAAAAACCTTGAATAGTTTTGAAGCATATGATGCTGCTATAGTTATCATTATACTTTGTTTGTATTTCATTTTCAATGAGGAGTAGCCTGTTCTGATAGACGGAAAAATTCGGACTTGGAGAGGGTGAACTTTTCAAACTATGGGCTCTAAAAATAAACCAACGAACAGTATTTCCCGTTGCGTTCTCAGGATAGGATTATTATGCCCATTTTCAGTCATGCCTTGTTATTTATTGTTCTGCTTTTCTTATTTGATGAGCCCTAGTATTGGATGCTGTAGAGCTGTGCTTTTAATGTATTTGATTTTTGTTGATAGGTTCTAAAAATAAACCATCGGACAGTAGCTGCTGCGGTAGGATATGCTGTATAGCACACATTATTGTTACCGCCGTTGTTATTGTTACTTTTTTGGAAGTGGACTGTAGCCCACAGACAGTGTTGTTATTTCATTCTGTTTAGCTGACCGCTGCATTTGCACTTTTTTTTTTTTTTAATATTTATTAATAAAAGTTGTTAATGTTGTACATGTTTTGTTGTTATTTTTTCAGTATTCTTAGGCCTATGTAATGTTTGTTATTATGTTTGTGAACGGTAAAGGCACAAGCCGACATTTTGGCCACTCCCTCTGAGCCCTTTAAAGTGATTTTTAAGTAGTAGTCACGGTAATACCGTATACCCCAGGAAAATGTGGGGAAGGTTTAACGGTAACAAAATTTGGATAACGCCCAACTCTAATAAACAGCGCGATTTCAATAGGGTCCTCTGCGGACGACTTGCAGTCGTCGCTCGGGCCCTAATAATAATAAACAGCGCGATTTCAATAGGGTCCTCCATGGATGACTTGCAGTCATCACTAGGGCCCTAATAATAAACAGCACGATTTCAATAGGCGTTACTACACATTTGATATATTCAGTAGATATATCTTTTTACGACTCTATTTTACAACAAGCCGCAAAAGACTAACGTTACTGTCCAGAAAAAGGCTGTTTCTAGAGTATTAGGTAACATTTCTGAAATTAGCCAACATTTTAACTTTTTCTTAACATAGTTCATCTAGGTGCAGTGCAATTACTAGTTTGGCTTTACTAGATATTAGATATATTCAGCAGATACATCTTTTTACAACCCTGCTGCGTTAGTTAGCAAACATTAGTTTACCTGTCCAGAAGGAAAGCGGCAACTTCTGCGTGGCTTTTTAGCCCTTTTTCTGCCTTTAGCTGACACCAACGATCAAAAGCTGAACCGATGTTGATTCTGATTTTGCTTCTCCATTGGTCGGCTAGAATTTGCGACGGATAGCGCTGGGACGACGCCTTACCTCTGCAGCTATCACAATGTGGCAACCCTGAGCTCCCCCCGTAACCAACGTAACCAAATCAAAATATTGACATATTTTGGACCTGTCAAAATTTCTAAAACAATTATTTCTCTACTATAATTATTTTTTTTCAGGGAAATATTAGACTTTAATTCTACACCTTTCTAGACATTTTATGGATGTATTTTTTTTTTTTTTTTGAAATATTCGTTTTGATGAAACAGTTATACATATGACCTTTAAAGGCACTAAGTGAAGGACTATGGAAACTTGATTAAGAACTAATTTCTGTCTTGAGTCATGCTTAAACTGTGCTCAATACTAGAGGCCTATTGAACTATGTTATAATATGTTTTGTTGTATTCATGTTTAATATGCTCTATTGTTTGCAAAAGAAATATTCTGTTCAAACTGAGCATTGGTAATAAGTGATTTTTTAATATGCTTATGTTTGCATATTAGTTGCATTTATATGGTTAGCTCTGTATAACGGCCAATCTTAAGAGGAAGTGGGGGACTTTATTGTGGAGGGAACAGGAAGTGTACCTATTATTGTGGCACCTGAAGTGTGTTGTACAGATGGCAGTCGCCAATAAAGGAGCAGTTGATTCACCTTAAAAGTTTGTTTTCTTGACGAGTAACAGGTGAACATCACAGAATAGGAGGAAGCCTGGAGATTTCAAACCTTTAACAAGTATGCCGATGTGGTCTTTGATGGCATTCACGATAAAAAACCTTAAAGGGAAATTTCAATTTATTTCAACCTGTCTCCTATCGTCTTAAATTTGTTTCAAGTGACTAGTGACATAAAAATAATAGTTAGCATGTTAGCCATTAGCCTAGATACAGCCGGGGCGCATAGTAGCGTCAGACCTGTTAAAAAGTAAGTGAACGGGCAACCTTCAAGTGCAAAGTTAGTCCACTAAACAAGCTTTTTTTCCACAAAGACCGCCTCATATTGTTAGGATAAATGTCAGAGAACGAGACACCTCCACCTGGAGTAGTATCCAGCTGGGCTTTATCTAGAGCTCGCGAGATTTCAGGCACAGTATGAGATCGCTGCTTGTTCTCGCGATATTTCGGCCGCGCTTTGGAAAGCAGAGCTAAAGGGGTAAACAAACATGGCAGCACACCGGTAAGGTAAGACAACACGTTTACATGTCGTTTCTATATGTTCTCTGACATTTATCCTAACGATATGAGGCGGTCTTTGTGGAAAAAAAGCTTGTTTAGTGGACTAACTTTGCACTTGAAGGTTGCCCGTTCTCTTAAGTTTTAACAGGTCTGACGCTACTATGCGCCCCGGCTGTATTTAGGCTAACGGCCAACATGCTAACTATTATTTTTATGTCACTAGTCACTTGAAACAAATTTAGGACGATAGGAGACAGGTTGAAATAAACCAAGATTTCCCTTTAACACTTGACCCAAAAATCTGATCAGCTGTTTGTATATGTACGCTTAGTGTGGTGACGTTCTTACCGAAGCAGCTTAGCCTTGCTCTGCAAGCTGTCCAGCAGCTCAATCTTGACGTTCATGTCAGTGATCTCATCCTCAAGGTTCTGACGGGTGACGTCTACCTGCTGGCAAAGCTGAGAAAACACACCTGCCAACTCCCTGATAACAACAAACAGCAGATACAAAAACATTAGAAAGCAGTATAATCACAAAGAGTCTATGTTCTTCACGGTCTTCTTTCAAATCTCTTTTTAAACTGACATCACAGCTGCTCTGAGGTGCATGGTACTGTCAAACTGTTAAGAAGCTTACTGCTGGACTTGGTGGCTGCAGTTGGATCCGGTGTAGCTGACGATAAGCTGCAGCTTCTCACTGGCGTAGTCCACAAACTGTCTCTTAAAGGCTCTCTCCTTGGCCTTGGTGGTCCATGTGAGCCGCTCATAGATATAGAGGAGTCCGTACAGACCCACTGACAGGGCGATCAGACGCCAGCCCACTGCCTTCCAGATCTGCACACACATAGATAGTTACCCTAACTTAGCAGTTAGCTTAGCAGCGTGCTAAGCTGCTCTCTCTTGCTCTGTGTGTCAAATGTTAAGCTATTCCTCTGCCTTCTTGAGTGATACTTTCTTTTTAAATCAATTTATTTCTTCATTTGTCACATTCAATCATATTCAAACAATTCCAGTGTGATGTAATTCTGACAGTTCCTTCAATTTGTACACTTAATTTCAATTTGTACAGGAGTAGAAGTTCCTAAGTATCTGAGGAGAGATCTGGAATTTCCTCAGGCGTCTCATTTAAAACTAAGGGTCACTGATTAATACATATGTTCATGGATTAGGCAGGCCAGGCTGGGGCGGGCATAAAAAACTCTGACCTGCACATCACTAATGACCAGCAATGATTGGTCATGGACCAACATGTAATCTGTCCTGTATGTTGGCAAAGTTGCAGCAAGATTTTATGACTCCATAACCACCTAATCTGACATAGTGACTGTCCGAACAGACAAAGGTGTCGTGTAATCCGAAATCGGCATCAGAGGGATTTAATGCAATATCACATGGGACTAAGAATGTACTCCTCTCCAGCTCACGCTGTACCATGTATAGTCCATGTTCATAGACTTCATGACTTGCATGACTTCATCCATATTTTAAGTTTTTTTCTTCATGAAGTTTCTGTAAAAGGTAGTACAAAAAACTAACAGCTAGTTCTTCCTGCTTCCTGCTACACATCTGACCGTGAGAGATTTAGGTTTTGAGAGTTGGGACTCTGGTTTATCATGAATTGAACCCGTTAGTGTGTGGTGTGCTGTTCTGGCTGACTAGTTGCTCTCCACATATCATAGGAATAAAACTATTAAATTCATCATTATATGTTATGTGTGGGATTAAATTTTCACCATTAATTAAGACTAGTCTATACCCACTGAGTGCACAGTTGCCCACGTACAGTTTCACATGGTGTGTGTTTGGGGTACAGGTCATAGGAAATTGCAGATTAAATAGTCAACTGAACCCATTAAGAAGAGCAATGTATTCAGACAGAGTGTTTGTGAATTTGATAGTACGATTGCTTTATTTAAAGTACAGTAGTACCATTGCCAATAGTGGGATAGTTAGTGGGCTAAAACTGTACATTAGTAGTTGAAAAGCACATAGTTAAAGACACTGCCTTATAGAAGCTCAGTTTTAGTAAGTTTTCCAACTTTTGCCAAGAGGGAACTTTAGACAATGGTCCATAGATTATGGTCACCGAGTTTCATGCAGATCGGTCAAACTTCCTAGAAAAAGATCGATTTGAAGTGTTTTTCAAAAAATTCAAAATGGCGAAAAATCTATATAAGTGGAAGTTATGGGTTCTTGAGGCAAATTTGTTCCTCATGAGGAGAGGCATCTCTGTGCAAAGTTTCATGTCTCTACGACAGACAGGGCATGAGATATGCTGAGGCGCACAGGGGGAGCATCATAATTTTCCCCCTTCCATTCAAAAAAAAAAAAAAAAAAAAAAAAAAAAAAAAAAAAAAAAAAAAAAAAAAAAAAAAAAAAAAAAACAACAAGCCCGTTCAATCGGGCTCAGACCCAGTGTTGTATGTGATGATGTCGGGTGAGCCGGTTTCGGGCTTAAGCCCCTCTAGTCATTTCGGTTTCTGGTTGAATTTTTGGGCCCATTGAGAACTCTAGACTCTGTATAGTTTATGATGAATGTATTTAGTCTCTGAACTTCACCATCAGTCACTTCAACATAAGTCATACAACATGTTTTCTGTTCACAGAATAAATCTTCAAATCAGACAAATACAATCTTATTTTCTGAAATTCAACAAAAATGAAAAGTTTATCTAAAACGTCTTCTTGAGTCGATATCTGAACCAATCAGCTGTTAGATCAGGTGAGAGCCTGGCGATGCAGTTGGTGGAGAGCAACTGCAGCGCCTGGCTCTGAAAACTGCGGCCGCCTTGCTCTCACGGTTTTATCACCGTCCACTTTTGTAATACGTCAGAGCAAGTCGAGATGAAGTTGGACACAAAACTAACCGGCATGTATTGCAAATGTTTCCCCTTGTGTTCTTTGAGGTCATTGACCTTAACCACTGACCACAGAAATCAAATAAGTCCATTGTTGAATCTAAGTGAACATTTGTGCAAAATTTTAAGAAATTCCCTGAAGGTGTTCTTGAGATATCACTTTCACAAGAATGAGACACACAAGGTCACAGTGACCTTGACCTTTGACCACCAAAAACAAATTATTTCATCATTGAGCCCAAGTTGAAATTTGTGCCAAATTTGAATAAATTCCCTTGAGGCGTTCTCAAGGCATTGTGTTCACAAGGATGGGACGGATGGACAGACAACCCCAAAACATAATTTTGCAATAGTGCTACTAAAGTACTACTACCACCGGAGCGGAGGCATAAAAAAATAAAAAATAAAAAAAAATAAAAAAAATGCCCTTTAAATCACTGTCCACTTACTAGCTTTTGCCAGAGCTTTTAACCACATCTCACTTTGTCCTTTTATATCTAGGCCTTTATTCCTCATCTGTGTGTGTGTGTGTGTGTGTGTGTGTGTGTGTCTCCTTACCACGCCACCAACCACAAGGACACCCATGGAAGTACGGGAGGTAAGGGAGGCAAGACCAGTCACCATGGAGACCATCAGCTCCTCCTGGGTCATGGAGCTTTGTGGAAATGGAGGCATGCTGGTGCTGACTGGAGTCAGGGCCATAGGCCTGGGGACCTGGAGGGAGAACACAGCTGCTTATAGCACAGAGCGCAGTCACTGCCTCAGAGTGCTACTACTACTCCTTTGTATGTTTACAAGAAACTCTACAGGGCAAGGCGTTTTTTTTTTCCCCTGATATCAGAATCAGAATCAGTTTTATTGCCAAGTAGGTTTTCACATACAAGGAATTTGGCTTGGTATATTGGTGCATAACAAAGAATATAAAATATAGAAAAATATAGAGTAACACACAAAGGAACACGCTTCTTTAGAAGAATAAGTATAAAAAGGAAATACTATTAACAATTAAATATAAAATCTCAATACAAATAATAATAATATAAAAATATGTACACTGTAAACATGAATAGGGTTGTGTGCAAAGAACAGTTGATAGTGCTACATTGTGATAATGTGATTGTGCTGCTGATCGATATTGAATTGACTCATGTTGATGATGAATCAATAATGTTTTACCGTCCACAGAACTGAACTTCACATAGTGATACTGCAATATTTTGCTTGCTGACATACTGACGTCATACTGTTACCCACGGCAACAACAAGCATGGCTAAAAGCAAAATTATTAGCAACTCCACAGTGGTTCCCAAAAGAGGAGCAGCTACAGTATTGTGGAATGAACTGTGGTGTCCTGAATGTTTTCTGAACAGCCAGACTCTTTTAGCAACTTACTGCTCAGAGGGAACTCATTCAGCGGCTCCTCTGGCAACAGCACAGCATCACTCCCTATCCTCTTTCGCCGTGCACACACAAGACGCAGTGTTGTCAAGTGATTTTTGTCATAAAACTTTGGTAATGTAAACCTATGTAATGCTCGCAGCTTGGCAAAAAAATCTACATATATGTGAATGTGCAATGGTTATGGTAGCATAACAGCCTGTCACAGGTGACGGTGTGATGATTAGAGGAAAATTGGCAGAGCATAAAGGTCCAGGTGGGAAAAAACAACTCAATTATTTAGGATTTTGCTGAAAGAGAAGGAAATCACCTGTGAGTCACTGTTGTTGTTCACAGACTAAAGAAATGACCAGTTTCGTTGTTGTTTCCTGTTGTGTTCACTGTCTCAATAAGTTAAAGCCTCTTGCACTCCACCTCCATTTTGTAGCAAAAACACCTAAAATGACATACCCAAATTAAAATGACTGTAGCCTCTGAACTGCTCTGACTACATGCATGCATGAGGTCTTGCAAGAAAGAAAACTCCCTGAAGTTTCTTGTGAAAATAAAATAAAAAATGTTTTTCTGGATGAATAACTATCTGTGGCTTCATCTGTGCAGGTAAATAACAGTATGGGGCTGTAGGCACACTATCAATGAACCCTTGTTTCAAATTTAAAGAAGAAAGCACCAAGAATTTTCCGTGAAAAGATCCAGGCGGAGTTCCAAAAGACAAGACAGTCTCTCAGCTTCAAAACAGTACTTTCAGTGATCAAACAACACTCAGCCAGCTTCAAACATTGTACCATCAAAATTGAAATCAGGTGTGATTATGATAGCTGATGTTGTTTATGACACAGAAACACCATAAAATATCACCAACTAAAGCCATATGAAATGTGAAAGTTATGGTCCCACTTTCTAGATGGTGTATCTCAGCCAGAAATAGTGGTAGGAGTGAGACTCTTACCTTTTATAAAAGAGCTAAGTCCCTGCTAAAAGCTGCTTATAAGATCGCGAGTAATCCTTTAATTTTTCCCGTCGAAAAACGGCATAACATGACTTCTCACCACTCATCGCGATTTTGGACTGTGTGTGTTTAGGCTACTCTTGTGTCAAATACATAAGAAATAAAAGAAAAACTATGTTATTTTTGAAAAGTCGAGAGCTTCCTGAATCTGGCAATACCAAACATCACATGGTTTGATGACGTAGTGCGTCTGGGAGATACCATTTAACAGAGGAGGGGGGGGGGAGCGAGGACATCAGTGTCCTGGCGGAGTTAGAGAGCTTAAAAGAAAACATAAAAACTCTTCTCAGAATGAAAGAAAGAAATCAGCATATTTCTTAAAATGTTGAACTATTACATTTATACAGTCATTTATTTACAATTTTATGGATCATCTATAGATATTCTATTTCTATGGGATTATCACATATTACAATCATACATCACAACTGATTGACCTCTTACTAGGTACAGTAGATGATTTTGGTGCTCTCTAAACTCAGCTCAAGATGTGGCATTTCTATCATGTTGTGTATACACTGAACGTACAGATTCATATATAAATATGTGGCTTTGTGAATTAAGTTTTCAGATTTGGGATTTCATTTAATTTTCAGACCCATTTTCACCATACATGCATATAACCATAAGTAGAACCATAGAACATCAAACACCAGTTTAACACTACAACCTGTCAAAAAACACTAATTCTATTGAGGACACACTTAAATGTCCCCTGTTGGTCCCAGACAACCAATACATTGAAAACCTGCTTACATCAGTGCATTTCATTTTTTTATTCAGTGTCCATAGGCTAGTCATTGTCTGGAGTCTGTGTTAGCAGAAAGCAGAAAGACATTAAACTATGATTCAATATTCATTCATCACGAGTCAATTCATTATCGCAATATTCAACAACATTCAACGATATTCAACGATATTCACATATCGCATGTTTTCGTGCAGTCCTAGTTGTGTGCCTGATGCAGAGTCTCATTGTCTCTTTGGGTTTTCTTGTTACTTTGACTTGAAAAGACTTGCTAAACTGTAACCTAAAAACTTAATGTAACCTTTGCTTTAACCCCAAGATTAAATCTACAGACGACTTCATTTTTAACTATACTTTAAATAGAAATGATGTTTGTAAATTTTGTTGTGATCACTAATTTAGGTAGTCACACTTAGATTTTTACTCCTTGTAGTGTTGACAGGGCTACAACCGCGACAAAGGATAGACTGCCCTGCAGATTTTCAAATGTCTTACCTGCCTGCTGATAAATTCTAAATTGGTCATCAGAAAGTAGGGATGCACCGAATATTTGGTAACCGAATATATTCAGCAGAATATTGCAAAAAAACACACATCTGGTATTCGGTGGAGTAAGTGAAAAGCAAGGCCGAATAGTAGCGGCGTGTTTTGATGACGCAATCAAACAGCCTGCGGTGACGGACAGAGTAAAATGTCAGTAGTGTGGCGATATTTCAAAGTGTTGGAGAGTGACAAAAGAAAAGCGGTTTGCAGAGAATGTAAAACTGAAATATCTAGAGGGGGTTCATCTGCAAAGACTTTCAGCACGACAAGTTTAATTAATCATTTAAAATCAAGGCACCCCGAATGGCATGCTGAGTACGAGAGAGAGATGGCTGCAGCAGCAAAAAGGAAAGCTGAAGCTCCTCCATCCACACCAACTCCATCCGTGGCTGACATTTTTGAAAAGACAAAAAAGTTTGCCAAGGACAGTGCCAAAGCAAACGGAATTACTAAGAAGATAATGGAGTTTATTGCTTTGGACGATCAACCCTTTACAGTTGTGGAGGACATTGGATTTCGGAGGCTCGTAGAGCACACTGAGCCCCATTACACCATACTGAGCAGACGGTATTTCTCTGACGTGTGCTTACCTGAGATGTATGATGTCGTTGCAGCTCGCGTCCACGAGCTCTTGGCTACAGATATTGCTTCCCTCAGCTTCACTACAAACATATGGAGCTCGGATGTCAGCCCCACCAGCATGCTGAGTTTAATTGCACAGTAGGTTGACTCAGATTTCAAGTTACAAAGGACTGTGCTTCACTCACAGGAGTTCAGGGGATCACATACGGCAGCAGCCATCTCCTAGGCATTCGCCAAGATGTTTGAAACTTGGCATATTGACATTTCTTAAGTGCATGCAGTAGTCAGTGACAATGCAAAAAATATGGCAAAAGCAATTGAAGACAGTGACCTGAAAGGCATACAGTGCATGGCGCACACACTACAGTTAGCGGTCCACGAGGGAGTGTTAAGTCAGCGCAGTATAGCAGATGTCATAGCGACAGGGAGGAAAATTGTAGGTCACTTTAAGCATTCCCCCCTTGCTTATTCTCGCCTTAAGCACTAGGTGGAACAGTACTTACTATATGCTGGAAAGCCTTTTTGCGCAAAAACGAGTCCTGGCTGCCTACGTAGCAGATTATGAACTGCCCGCTACATTCACCTCATACCAGTGGGTGTTAATCGAAAACATTCTCTCTTCTCGCCCCGTTTGAGCAGATAACAAAGGAGATAAGTTCATCCGATGCATCTGTAGCAGACGTTATCCTGTTACTGGCAAGAACTGAATGTCTTCTCAGCAAAGAGGCTGAAACAGACCACGGAGTCAAAACAACTAAATGTGCGCTGTTAGAAGCTGTCAACAGATGTTTTAGTCAGGCAGACGCCGAACCCCTGTTCTGCATCGCAACTGTGATTGACCCACGGTACAAGGATCACTACATGCATGTGGAGAAAAAACAGAGGGTAAAGGAAATGGTGCAGGCTGAATTGGACTTGTTAAAGCCGCTTGGAGACAGTCAGGTGACGCACAGAGAGGGTGCAGAGACAAAAAGGGTCCGCGCCACACACGCAGCCGGTGTGCCCTCACTCTCTGATATGTTTGAAGAGATCCTCCATGAAAACAACCCAGATGCCAGGCAGACAACAAGTGCAACTGCTCAACAGCTAGACGGTTACCTGTCAGAAGTCCCCATCCACAGGAGTAATAATCCTCTAACATATTGGAGGACCAATCAAGGCCGCTTCCCTGACTTGGCACAGATGGCACGCAGGTAATAATAAGCTTTACAGCACTTTTCAAAACATAGTTACAAAGTGGTTTACAGTAGTAAAAATAAAGGGTAGAATCTAATAAAAGCAATATAAAACAATATAGGAATAGCAATGGAAGTGCATAAGAGAAATGGCGATATGATACAGTAGCATTTAAAACAATACACTGATAGTATGGAAAAGGGATTGATTTTCTTTTTCTTTCTTTATTTATTTTTTATTGCTAAGGCATTGATAAAAAAATGAACTGAACCTAATGTTGTTTCCATTCCAAGGTACTTGGCTGCTCCATGCACAAGCACCGATAGTGAGAGACTGTTTAGTGCTGCATCTCATGTCCTTGATGAGAGGAGGAACAGACTTGCATGTGACAAAGCAGAGAAGCTACTGTTCATAACAAAGAACCTGCCACTTTTCCTGAAGGAGAAGGCTAAGTAGACTTATGCCAAGGACAACAATTCATTTGTTGTTTGCGCCTTAGTTTTTTGCAATGCGCTTTTTAATGCATTTTTTTGTTTGAAGGCCTACAGCAGGAGTCAGCATAGGTTCAACCATGGGCCAAATTTCCTAAGCATTTTATTTGGGGCTTGACATTACACAGACACAGTGAATGTGTTTTTTTAATTAGATGTTTTTGTTTGTATAAAACAATGTATGGGTTGTCTCAGGTGTCATAATTTCCTTATTTTGAAGCTGAAGTACTGTTATTGACAAATCTGTTCTATGTTATGTACCTGTATAAGAGGTTATAAACTCACACTTATTGGGATTTACCTGAGCCTTCTGTTTATACTATTATCTACTGTGACTAATTAGACTTATGCCAAAAGGACAATCATTCATTTGTTGTGGGTTTATGATCTACTTTTTTGCACTTTTGTTTTTTGCATTGCACTTCTTAATGCATTTTTTGTTTGAAGGCCTACAGAGTAGATCTTTCAGCAGTAAGTTAGAGGGATAATAGCGATGACAAACTTTATTTAAGTTTTTGTGCTTTGTTGTTAAGCAAAGTCTGCTGGAATATTTAAAAAATGTTAAATATTCAATAAATATTTACCTTCTTTGAAAATCATGACTAAAGCACATTTATTTAATTTATGCAATAGTCAAGAAAATGACAAAATTAATTAAAAACTAAACAACCGTACTATTCGGTATTTGGCCATGCGTTTAATTTTATTCGGCTTCGGCCACAAATTTTCATTTCGGTGCATCCCTATCTGAAAGCTTTACTGGAAAATATCCACAATTAAACAGTGCTAAAATAAAGTGACATTCAGACAGACTAACTCATTTTCAACAACAAAAATCTACTCAGATGTAGGTGCCTGTATTTTGATATTTATGTAGTATCTGGCATCATGCCAGTGCAGTCCAAACAGGTTTACGAGGCAGACTACCAGTTTCCATGTATTCAGGTGTGTGACCAAATATAAAAATAATAGGAAAACATGTACAGTATATTCTTCATGCCTCCATACTAGTGGCCTATGCAATTCAGTCTAGTTTGTTTAGTTTTCCTTTGCAAACAAAACTAGCTCTTATTTTGTTATACAGTCAAACTTCTCATTTTCATCAAACCAAAATAATTCAGGATATTTGTTCTGTATTCTTGCAAAGGTGCATACAGTTTATATCATATATAGTATGAACCTGCACTTAGAAGACAGGCTGAGATGCTTACGGAGCTCACGGAGCACCCCGCCCATCCAGGTGAAACCCTGTATTTTTAGGTCATTTAAGTATACTGTACATCTACTCTCTCGAAGCTTCACTCACTTGGTCTAAGAGGAAAAATGTAGTTGCTATTACACTGATCAGTGAGAGGGATTTAAGTTCCTGAGGTGTTACCTGGTCGTTGTAGCCCATGAGGGCCCGCCGGGTGTTCTTGGGCCCCAGGAAGCGGTTGACCAGCATGGTCCAGCCCAGAGAGAAGTGGAAGCTGATGTCCTCCTGAAAGTCACTGCAAAGCTTGTCACAGGCGAGGTCATAACTGAGACTGAAACACTGACGAGGAACCAGCTTGTCTACCTGCTCTCTGACCAGGTTGGGCAGCAGAGGCTTCAGGCCCTCTGCGCACACACACACACACACACACACGCACACACTCAATCAAGGTGATATATTCAGTCATATTTTAGCCACAGATATCAGTGACACACTGCAGCTACATACATGTTTCCACTAGGGCTGTCAAAATTGCTCAAAAATGATGTTCGAATATTCCTTCTAAAAATAACTCATAGGTTCGAACCATTCGAATATTTTTTTTTCCGCATTATGTCCACAAGAGGGCAAACTAATACAAGGAAATATACTTGTATATGAAACATAACTACCTGTAGGTATTTTTATTTCAACATAAACGTCTTTGAAAACATTTACATACCTACACATTAAAACACATAAAACAATTATCTATAACATTACGTTATAAACGACTGCGGACCTCTCGCTCGCCCCCCCTCTCTGACCCGTGGCCACACCGCCTGCGGAAGCGCTGTGAATAGCCTCGAAGCACCGGACCATGACCAGCTCGCGCCCTGCAGTGATCGTTTCGGCGTCTGGTCTATTTTCTGCGCGAGCTGCGAGCGAATGTGTCAAGCCGGGTGACGGAGACAACAGCTGGGAGCAGAACCGCTTGTCGACTAGCGTGGAGAAATGCGCGTCTGATGCCAACGCCCACTCGCAAAGAGGACAGCTGCGGTGGTGTTTTTTTTTTCTCTCCACAATCGAATATCAATTTTCACATTCGAAGGTCCATTTTTTTTCAAATTTAAATTCAAATTTAGAATATTCGTTGACAGCCCTAGTTTCCACATGCGGATACTACTGTCATAGTGAATGAGTTAACATGCATGTAGCTACTAGCATTATCCTTAAGCTACATTGAAGCCTCTAAAGCACTTTTGAGCATGTCAAGTGTAAACAGGTGCATGTTTGTGATCTATAGTCTATCTAAACAGGAGTGTTACCAATCATGTCGCTCTGTGTGGCCTGAAGGGCACTGGTGATGGAGGTGGAGCACCTCTCTGACATGTTCTTGCCCAGACCCTCCTCTATGTGCCGGTGGAGCTCCTACAAAAACAACAAAGAACTGGTTAAAAAAAAGCTGCGTCTAGCGCTGGGTCTAACATGTGTGATGGCTTCTGCAGCAGCTGCTCCTCTGAATCATAGATCTGATTTGATCTGATCAGCTCTGATTGATCCGACCACAAACTAATCAAGCCAAGACTTGAGTGTGATGATCAAACAGTTTGTTCCTCAATTATCCACCCTGTGACACACACTCAACAAACTGCTGCTGAGGAAAAAACATAAAACTCTACTAAGAGTTATGCCTGCACTGTGTAGGCATACCTGCAAAAACATAATTCTGAAAGGGGACACGAATTGAGCTTTTCAAATGATGATCAGTAAATGTGAGAAATGACAGATTGTAAGTGTGTAGAAATTACTTGTAACTGTAGAAAAAAAAAAAAGTCGAAATTTCTGATACATAAATTAGCTTTACTAGATTAGTTTAAAGATAAAAAACATAGAAAACATAATGACTAAAAGCTGACGTTTTGAATTTTCGTCAACTCGGCAGCAGGTATACACAGCTGCTCTTATTAAAATTGACCTATGGCTAAGCCACGCCCCCCTCCACTCACCCGGACAAAATATCAACATTCGGTGACCGGGTGCTATGGCAGGTGTCACAGTACACGGCATTTCGCAGGAGGGAATTGATGATTTTTGGAGACATAACGATCAGATGTCACTGAGAAGCAACCAAATGGGCCTGAACTATGCACTGGAGGGATATATTCATCATTTTATTGTTGAGAAGGTCGATGAAAAGCTTAAATTACAAGCCAAAATTTACAGGTCACAGTGTACGCTTGTGAACCGCATCTGGTTGCCGTCGCCATCAAAGACAACAAGTTAAAGTGCCACTGAAGTTAAGGTTTTTGGCTCAGAATATGAGAAAAGGATAACGGCCTTTTTACCATCTTTACCAAGAGTGTCTCTCTGTTAGTTTGGTGCTACAGTATTTACACTGAATCATTCAGCATAACGTTTGCCAACCTTTGTTATCTCTGCCATTACAGATAAGTTAATGAAGCTAAGCTCCAGAAGTTAATGTTAGTTTAACTGGAGCCCTTTGGACAACAGCTAACAATGATGTACCATCACCAAAGTACAAAACTAGAACAAAATAGGCTAATGAACTCCCAGCAAACAAGGTGACATGATGAACAACGCAGCTAGGAGCTAACGTTAGCTAGAGATGTTAAAGATAACTTCATATTTCTTTACAGCAAAGTGACAATATGTTGCCTCAAACTCCTTGTTAATTTTTTCACGTTGAGTCGATGTTGTGGTCTAACGTTACCACACAACTTTATCCAAAGGAGACACTTTTCTCAGTTGAGATGTGGTTTAAAGTGTAAAAATACACCTGGTCGCCCAGCCTCTCAGGATACCTTGTGTCAGAGTTGCATGTACCCCATGCACACCGTTTGACCATTTTTAAACTAGGGATGCACCGATCCACATGTTTTCACTTCCGATCTGATCCCGATAACTGAATTTGGATATCTGCCAATACCGATACTATTCCGATACCAGAGCTCTGTTTGCTTTAATATTATTATCATTATTGTTGATTTTATATGAGGCTGTAATTAACTCCTCTCTACAGGCAAGTATGATATGTACGTATGTATGCATGTATGTCCCAAAAGGCAACTTGAGGTAAGTATAAGGTCAGAAAAGGACACTGTTGCCAACCCCTCAGTAAGAAAAGTAGCTATTGGCTGTCCTCAAAGTTGCTAGAAGTCGCTAAATGACGTCATCGCCTAATTTGCATAATTGTCCATATGCATGTAATTGTAATGGCTGCTGTAGGAGAGAGGAATAACGTCGTGTGAGAGACAAAAACTGAGTAAAAAAACACCCTGAATATGTTTAGAACTACAAATGAACCTTCTTTCGGTGATTTATATTAGACAAAGAAAATTTTACATTTACATCCCGCCCTGACTGTAAGCCAGGTCGGAATCATCAGCCAGCGGCGGTTCCGCACATGCGCGATTCACTTGCAGTCTGGACGTGGAGGGGTTAACAGCTCCTGCTCTGACTGCTGCTGGGAGGGAGGACTGGGCCGCCTTTGAGTGCTTTGGGGCAAGGGAGGAGCCCACGGCAGCATCCGCTGCTCGTTGAAAAAAATAGAAACAATACGTGCTCTCACGACAGAGTCTCCAGAAGTCTTCAATAACATCAGAAAAAGTCCCTAGATTTGTCGCTAGTCGCTTTTTTGAAAAAGAGTTTCTAAAGGGGTCTGAAAAGTTGCTAAATATAGCGACAAAGTTAAGTTGGCAACACTGAAAAAGGAGGTCAGAAAAGCAGTAAATCCTGTTCACAGGAAAAATCCCATCCTGAAAATAAATATGCAACTGTAAGGGTTTCAAATTGATTGTCAATATTTATTAAATTCCAAGACAGTGTTAAACTACTAGTGCAATATACATTATCAACAAAAACAAAAAATACCTGTCATATTAATCTGAACAGCACAGATACACATCAAGTAGACACTACTATGTAGTAGTGTTGTCACAGTACCAAAATTGGGACCCACGGTACGATACCAGTGAAAGTATCATGGTTCTGAGTAGTATCACGATACCACAGCAAAAATGAGGCAGATGTGCCTTTAATCATTTATAAAAAGATAAATCACTTTTCTATAATACATCAATGATATTTCAGTGGAATACATTACTTATTGACTTATTCATACTTCAAAAACAGCATCAATAAGTGATTAACATGGGGGGGATTGAAATAAAATAAATAAATAATATAAAAATCAACCAAAAATCAACCAGCCACCCTCCTCCCCTGGCAAGTTAAGAACAGTCCCTAAAGTGCGGTGAGGTTTGTGGACCGTTACCTCCCACAAAGAGAAAAATGTGAACGGCTCATTTCTCCTCCGACACGTCACATACCTGTGTGCCGCCACGGCTCGGCTGTTCAGGTACTTTTGGGCAGTCATGACATCAAGAAGAGGAAATTATTGGACCTGGAGCCGGGCTTCTCCGTCGCCGGTAAGCCGTTATCTTGCGCCACGGAGCACTATGGCCGCCGTATTTGACAGGAATACATTCCTGTCTGTGTCTGTGACCCCCGTTCAACCCACAACCGGCAGGATTCGCCTTTTGTTTCTGCTGCTGGTTGAAATCTGTACTGGCACAGCATGCTCCTAATGATTTCTTTTGCTAGCACAAAACTATTTTTAGTCGCAAATGTGAGTAAAATGCTCGCACCGTAGAGCTCTGTGGAAAAATCACTGCAGCATATATAAACAAATCTAGCCTACAAGTAGAAATAAATTAATAACTTTCACTGCTTAAAGACACTCAATAGCTCAGCTAATACCTGAAATGTCACTGGATACAAACCACTGCAGCAGCATATCGAGTGCCAGGTGGCCAGCACGCGCTGTTATTGGATGGTGCATGGACACTCACCCTCTTGCAATTGGACTTTGAACTTATCCCACAGTAGTGGTATCTGAGGTACTCCAACATTATGGTATCATATGTAGCCTGCCGTCGTGTTTTAGTAACGCGGACTACCGTTGGTACCAGTATACCGTGCAACACTACAATGTAGCAATCATCATATCATTCCAGCAGACAACGTGAAAGCACAGACAGACAGAAATTTGATTTAACATTGATTGATATGTAAATAATTTGCCCAGACCTCTGTCACAAGGTCTGGGGATCCTCCCCTGGCACATATATTTTGGTAAACAAGCTCTAATTTGATGCTTTTTAAGGACTCTGGGACCTTATTTATAGCCTGGTGAAACCATCCTGATCTCGCAAACTCATGTTCTATTTCGCTCCACAGATCAGTCTGGCAATGCAATCAAAAAGGCACATTCTGGCATCAGTAGCCATGTTGGTAAACAACCAACATGGCTACTGATTTTGAAACTGCGATGGTAAATGTGCTGAACGAACTGGAATGTATATTTTCTTTAAATGCAGAACAAACGGCTGCACTGAAAGCTTTTATTGAAAAAAAGGATGTGTTTGCCGTCCTTCCTACGGGGTTTGGTAAAAGTTTAATTTATCATTTGGCTTTGTTGATTGGGAAAAAGATGGGACTCTGTGAAAACCCAGTGGCTATTGTTGTTTCTCCGCTAGTTGCTCTCATGGAGGAGCAGGTCAGGGAAGCGACCAAGCTGGGAATTAGGCTTGTGCCGGTTTGAAAATTTTCCAACTAGGTGGCGATAATGCTGTATTAACCACCAATACACACAAGGTTACACAAGAAGAAGAAGAAGAAGCAGAAGGACACTTCTCTCGCAGCAGCAGCAGCAGCAGCAGCAGACAGCTGATCAGAGCTGCGGAGTCCCTCTGAAGCCTCTGAGACAAACTAAACAAAACACTTGTAGGCTCCTCCACTTCATTTAAAAACATTCATAAACCTTATTAAGTTGTCATAATGCATGTTACAATGCAAGATAATTTGAATATAGTCCCTTGACACTCCGCTGATGTGAAAAGTAATATTCTCAACTGTCACAGCTGTCAGGATGTGCCGCTGTAAAGAGTAAATATAATCATAGAAGGCTGAAAATTACAGGACATGGACATAGATGTGTCAGTCAGGTTCAGGTATGTCCAGGGCAGTCTGGCGTTGTTTTTTCTGGCCGCTACTCAAGCTTGTTACAAATAGAAAGGCTTAGGCAGGAGCAGCAATTTTGGTCTTATGTTCAAATCAAATGAGACTTTAGGGCTGAATGAGTACATCATGATTCAGTCTGGACTGCTCTTACATAATACAGATTATATGAGCTTTACACAGGTTCAGTGAGCCAACTGGAGACCAAGGATGAGCTTTACACTGTGCTGCATTTAGATTCCAGACTGACAGATGCAGAGGGTGGACAGCATTTCTGATTGAGCCTGCTGGAAGTGCATACAACAGAGATATAGATGTGACTTATGAAACCAACTAATGAGGTGGTCAGAACACAAAGAGAAAAATCTGGGTAGACTCTCAACAGCTAAATGGCCTGTGTAGAACAGACCAGTCTGAGAGACTGAGAGAGGAGAAAGGATCATCTCCAACAGTGAGTACAATCAGCTAGTGTGAGAGAGCATTTGTGCTTGTGTGTGCACAAGCCCCGACACCACAGCCAACCTCAATAACTAGTGCTGACAAAGACCAACAGATCGTCACAAACACAACACCTGACAGACAGCTAACTGCTGACAAGCACATAATTATATTCTCCATGTGGGTGGACCCTGTGGACACTGTGGGGCATGGTCACCTAAGAGAAATAGATACCAGTGATGTTCCTCAAAACAGTTTGGATGAATGTCAAAAAGTCTTCCCCTGCAGTTATTCTGTATTTATTACTTAGTATTTGCACTCTGCACCTTTGCAATGTTGTTTATGGAGCAGCTCCAGACAAGTTTGAGATTTACTTCTCCAGCCTCTGGCTATGAGTGAGAGTAGGTCATGTTCACAAATACTGACTGAACTTTTCTGGGCCTTTGAAACAACATACTTGAATTGTTAAATTGTGAAACTCACATTCTTGTAGACCTTGAGCACCACTGGTGATGGGTGGAAGTCCATGTGGAAGTCATCCACCAGCACGTGGAGCTTCCTGATCTCTTCTGACATGGCATTAGACACCTGAACATGAGCAGACAGTACAGATAGGACCAACTCAAGCAGGACAATGTGCATCTGCAAACACTACTTTTGTGACACATGCTGAACTTGAAAGTTGACTAGACTAGTATTGACTTTTGAGAAGTAAGGAAATGATGAATGCCTGAAGTCCATTACTTCACAAGCCACCACTGACATTAAGTGAGGAACCTAAGGCAGGTATGTGATGATGTCATGTTGGGATTCACCTGTCTCTCCACCTCCTCAGTAATCTTCTTGATCTTAGCCTTACAGTCCATAGTCAACAAGTCCAACTGCTTGTCTATAAACTCCAATCGGTCCTGACGGTCCTCTTTGGTCTCAAGGCAGTAGATCCTACACACACACACACACACACACACACACACACACACACACACACACAGACACACGATTGCTTTTAGATAATAATGTAAAATGTAGATGGTGTCTTTGTCACTATGAAAATCATTTACGTGAATTACTTCTCCAGTCAATCCATCACTGAATAAAGAGTAGGGGCATCAGTTGACCTATTACAGATATATCGCTATTGGCGAATATGTCCTCCTGTATGTGATATACTAATATCTTCACATGACAACAAAAGTACAACATTTAAAGTTTGTATCACTACTTGGTTTATCCTGCAGGGTGTGCTGCCCTTTTGATCCTACAGGTTTGCCAAAATTATGTAAAAACCTTTAATAGGGGTCAACCAGCCCACTAAAATCATGAAATAAAGCTACTCTCAAGAAATCTAACAGTCAGCTCACTACTGGCTGAAACTATACTACTATTCCATATTGCCTGATGCTGTTGTCTGCTAGCTAATAGGCGCCTAACCAAAACACAATATTTATTACAAAACAACATATGTGTATGTACATTTATATAATTTATTTACTCAATGAAGCCTTGTTAATAAATTAAAATTCACTTATAGATTGTATTTTATAATGTTGAATGTGGTGGAATAAAAAGTACAATATTTGCCTCTTAGGTGTAGTGGAGTAGAAGTAGCAGAAAGTAGCAGAAAATAGAAACACTCAAGTTAAGTACAAGCACCTGAAATTTGTACTTAAGTACAGTGTTTGAAAAAAATGAACTTGACTACTTTCTGCTACTGATGTTATGCTAATGCTAGCTAGCTGGCTGACTAATGTTAGTTACTTGACTAGAATAGTCTATTAAGAAAATATATCACAACATTGTTTACCTTTCAAAAAAAGTTAATGTTGTGTCAGACACAAATATTATTATGTTGACATACTGGCGGTCCCCAATGGATAAGCTGACTGAGTGCAACAAGGGTTGTCTGACAGTGCTGAATAGCAAACCATGACATGGAAAGTAATTCCAAAGACACTAACTAGTCAGAGACCCCCCCTCTCTTCCTTGCAGCTGGCCTGTTTCTTTTACAACACTATGCACAAAATATTATTATGCAGTAAACCTGTCTGAAGTCTGTTAGAGTGCGCACACACGCACCTAAGTATTTTTGCCCTACAGTTTGTGAAAGTGAACTTGCAAGCCTGTGTCGGAATGCACAGGCTTGCAAAGCAGACAAAATCTACAAAACTAAAACTTTTTTAATGATACAGTATTTAATACATGATCACGTTTCCAGGCTTGGGTTTACATACAGTCTCTATCCATGCATTTTGTACAATCTGCTTTAAATACCTGACTCACCTCTGGTCTTGTGCAGCAATGTGTACAGAATCCATAATGCAGCGCAGGGCTTCAGAGATCTGTTTGGCTCTCACAGTGTGCTGCTCAAACTTGGTCTTCACTGCGGACTGTGAGATACACTCCTACACACAGCAGCAGACAGGCCAACAATCAAGATCAGCTTAAGAACCATGGATGGGCTTCATAATTCACTGGACACTTCACTACTCCAAGTCCAGCTGATAATAACTTCGGATATCTGGATTATCAAGTCACTTTACAGAATGTATAACAATCATCGATTACTCAGTGAGAAAGTGTTGTCAAATGAAAGCCACGTAGGGTTTAAGTTACACTTGTCAATAGTTCTTTTTGAGGGGAGCACTAACATTAGAGCTGCACCATTTGATAAAAATGTGTGACTGCGATTATGGTGGACAATATTACGATTTGTGATTGTGATTACAATACAATAAATAAATGGTATCATGAGTCTTCTTGCTTGATTCAGTGTTTCCCCTACATTATATTAGGAGGGCACTGACCTGACCTGACCTAGTTATTGTTATGGACAGTGTGTAAATTACCATCAACAGACTGCTGTTATGCACAGTCAAATCTGCTGCTCGCACAGCAGCGCAGCACCACACGACACACAGCGGCGCTGAGTCTGTGTTGCATTCAGGCGTTGTCACGTAAATGACAAATTCCAGCATGTGAATAGTCCATTGTACAACACAGCAGCATGTCAAGTGGGCCGAGCTCGAGCAAAATTGCTAAATTTTTCACTTGTTATTATATAGGTTGTTATGGAGTCCGTGATTTCCCTGTGTCTCTTTGAGGTCTTGTTGTATGGCGTGACACTTACAAATGTAAGCCTCATTGTGCTTTGTTGTTTTATGAGGCTCTGGCAGCTTTCAGTTGTCTCTTTGTCTTCATCGTTACTTGGCTCGTCTTTCTCTCACATGCATTCTTCCTACTTTTCTCCGTGCTGTCTCAAGTGCTGATATAGATTGGTCGTGTTGCCGCAGGACGTGGCGATTTCAACTTTTAAAGTTTTACACAGCATGTCTTTCTGTTCAACGTCGCCGTTCCTGAATCCAAAGTTTCGCCATATAATAGGCGTTGGGTTATCTTTCGCTACCAACTCAGCCTGTTCTTGGTCGTGCTCATGCTCTTCTTCAGCATCTGTGTTGGTCACTGCTGCACGCCGGCTGGTCACCTGACCATACGTGCTGCACACACCAGGATAGCTTGTGGGCGTAATGTCAACAAACTCCACACACTATGAGAGAGGTAGTCACGTTCACAGACACACACGTTAACATTTATTTACATTAAATCGCAAATCGCAGCCTTTTATGTAATCGGACTGCCTGACATCGCGATTGCGATTAGATTAATTGTGCAGCACTAACTAACATTTAGGGAAATATGCTTGTTTGCCCTCTTAGCTAAGTCACCTCTGTGTCTCCAGTACAGAGAAGGGCGCAGAATGTGTTTAGCCTAGCTTTTCACAAGCAGGGGAAACTGCTTGCCTCCTCCTTGCCTGGGTATTTCCTACATTCAGTGAATGTAGAGTCTGTAGGCAAACCCCAAAGATCTTGCCTCCGGAAGAAGAGCGGAAGAGCCCTGGTTTCCGGTTGTAGGCTGTTTGTAGTCCGTGTGATATTGACCAATCACGTTTGAGCCTGCTGCAGTTGTTGCCAGGTTAAACGGTCCGTGCGGTGAACTAATGAGGCAGAACATAATTGGCGTCACTGCAAACTCTGAATCCATCGCAATGGTTCAGCATATTTGCTCATATGTAAACGGAAGTCGGAAAGGGAAATTCCTCCTCCGCCCAAATCAAACCAGAATGCCAAACAATCGGGGGTCTGCCCCCAGAGGCTGTATCGCCGTCTGCCGGAAGTCAGACGCCGAATACAGCCGATGGTTTCCGAGAATGGGGATTTGCCAACAGACAAACTTGGGGACTGACGATGATCAGAGTGACTCCTAAAAGCCGAAGCCTTTGCCAGTGATATGAAGATATTTGGCTTGTTTTCCCATTGATGTCTGAAGTTTGTGATAGAAGTAGTATTAAATAAGTACAAAATTTAATTTCCCCTGACACAGTTTGACATTGGCATCCTTCACGTATAACTGACACTTGCCACACCGACATGCACGCGCACGCGCACACACACCCACACCCACACACCACACACACACACACCCACACTCTAACCGACTGCACGGCACTGTCCCTGGTACTGAATGGAGTGGAGGAGAGATGGACAGAACGCGTCACTTCAGTTCAGCTGCTTGGGGACGGAGGGAGAGAGAGAGAGAGAGAAAGCTGCATGGCATGGGCAGACAGACAAAATGATCTTGTTTTTTACATAATGAGCCTAATGCTGTTGGCTACTATGTTGTTGATTTCAGCAGTCATCTCTCAGTAGTTAAAGCTGATCATAAATTCTATTATTTTGCATCGTGAAATAATAACAATATAGTAGACTGTATTTGTAATCCCCTTTGCATTTTGTGACTCTGCTCTGTCAAAGGTGCTGCATTAAATAAACCTAATGCCTGGTACACACTACATGATATCAGCCCGATCATAGCCCGACGCAGCCACATACGGTGTTGGCATGGATCGTGAACGACAGTCGGAGAGGAAGTCTAGCATGTTTGATTTTTTGTCAATCACGACTTCTCCCGTCACAGCCGTTGACTAACAGAAACACAGAGTGATCTGCTGGACAACTGTAGGTCAACAGCACCACAGCCTTTTTGATATTTCCTCTAGGGACGTTACCACACAGTAAAAAGGGAAAAATTGTGGTGTGAAACAGCAGAGACACTTTATCAACCTGCTGAGTACTGCCATTAGCATCAAGCTAGTCTGAGTGGACGCAAGTTCGCTGCATAGATCAGCCTCTCATTGGGCGGAATGAGCCACCCGCTGAAGTCCCGCCCTAACACCTCCGGTTGTCATAGTCGACAAACGTCCTTTACTAACTTTTGCGGTGTTTGATCTTGTGGGGATGTAGCCATTTTCTGCCATGGTTCGCGTCCTGTAGGCGATATTTTTGTGGGCGTGTTACACCAAAACCTGTTTCCCCCCAGCAATATTTTTGCAAGAGCACCGTTGCTGTGGCACCGCCAAGAACGATTGTGATTGGTTGAAAGAAATAAAAAAGCCGGGGCGTTTTTTTTCTCCAATCTTAAAGTGAGAGTCGGTGCAGCCAGACCTTTCTTTTCTTGAGAAAGGTCTGGTGAGCGAGACTAGCGGCTGCTTTCCTGGCAGAGTAATGTGTATTTCAGGCAGAGACAATCTTTGGTCACGTAACGCCAGGGCCACACCGCCCGCGGAAGCGCTGTGAATAGCCTCGAAGTGCCGAGAAGCGAAGCCAGTTTCCTTTCGGTGCCCATGTTAACCGATTGTGTCATCCACACCGGCCACGGAGCTGCCCTGCAGTGATCGTTTCGGCGTCTGGTCTATTTTCTGCGCAAGCCGCGCGCGAATGTGTCAAGCTGGGCAGTTACCCATGATGGTAAAACAGCCCCAAATGTGATGGAGACAACAGCTGGGAGCAGAACCGCTTGTCGACCGGTGTGGAGAAATGCGCATCTGATGTGAACGGGCTTGCGCGAGAATTTCGCTGCGATCGCTGCCCAAACGTACCTGAACAGCCGAGCACACAGGTATGTGGCGTGTCAGAGGAGAAACGAGCCATTCACATTTCTGTCTTTGTGGCAGGTAACCATCCACAAACCTCACCGCACTTTAGGGACTGTTCTTTACTTATGAAGGGACTGTTCTGTACTTGTATGTTAATCAGTTGGTGCAGTTTCACTTAAGTAAAAAAAAAATGACTGAACAACTTTCACTTGTATTGGAGTAGTATTTGACCAAGAGTATTTTTACTTTCACTCAAGTCATGTCATTGAATACTTTGTCCACCACTGATCAGACATTCATGTTTATATAGGGCAGGCCCTGCTGTTGCAGTCTGGTCGAGCTAAAATCTTATGTCTCGACTGTCCAAAGGGGACTGAAGTCAGTGATTTATGTAAAATTCCTTAATGAAAGATTGTTTTTGCATTGTAGTAAGAATACTACAGAATTTATTAACCCAAATATTACACTTAATTGTTGAAACAGTTATTCATATTTTAGCATACATTATTACTAATATTAGTGCACACTAATAAAATATTGATTGAGAATCGTATACAAGACCCAAATGACATGCTAAATAATACTGATAGCAAATTACAACACTTAAAAGCAATTTTTATTGGGTTGCCTGGTAAAATATCTGCCTGGCTGGTAAAAAATTTCAAGTGAAAATGGTAAGTGAAAATGTTAGTTTTGGACCCTGTTCATAATGGAGACAGAAATTAAGTAAGAGAATAAAAACATAGTGGTTTTACTTAGCAAAACTGCAGAGGCTACTGGCTTCATTTGAAACAGACTACATTATAAACGGGCTTTTGTTTATTATTCCCTCTGTAATTATTTATATTTTTACTTTTTATCTGCTCTCGTTTGCCTTGATAAAGTTAATGCATCACGCCGTCATTTCAAACTCAACACTTCCTGTATCTGTTTCAAATTATAAGCCCCTTATAACTTTGGTTGAGAGAATCCCTTCATTTTTTAAATAGGCTTTTATTGTGAAACATTTGCAGGAACTTGTTGTGGAGGATTTAGTGACTTGCATGTTTGTATACAGTACTTTTTTACACTACTACAATATCAGTTCAGCTGGCCCACGAACAGACACAGTGACTGAAATACTAGTAAAAGTAATAAAAATAGGACAAGAATAACCCGATGACATCACACACTTCATGAGAGACGACCGGGATAGTAGATGTGTAGTCTGTCGGCCAAGTCACGGCACAATTTTATGCCTCCACAATCGCGTAATGTGACATAGTGACTGTCAGAACGGACAGAAATGTTGTGTAGTGTGAACCGGGCATAACTTACTTTGTTAGTAAATCTATAATATACAATAGGACGGATAAAAAATATATACTTTCTGATGTAAACTGAAACTGCTACATTTAGCTGTCCTGCAGTGTTTTTATTACAATCCTTTATTTGTGGCAGCTGCCACAATGTCAAAATTGACTGCCACTGATG